CTTGTCCATCACGTTCGTACTTTTGCTGTTTGCACCCATTTTACTAATTCGATATGCCTGTTATTTACATAACTGAATTGCGTTGCAGCTGACACTGATTACATTTTCTCCTTCAAATTTTTCGTAGTATCTTGTTTGGGCATCGGCAGTGAAGTGAAGTAAGTCAACATATTCTAATGCTTATTTCTAGGATCCAAAGATAAAAGTATGACCTATTTGTATGAATTCACATTTGCATAATAACACTCTAACTTCGAGGACTCATTTTTCAACCACTGTAAATAAATTGCATTTAGCCTCTACCGTACTGACCTGTGTCTGATGTTTCTTTATCCATACTCCGATTGTTGTCTTTTACTTTGGCTTGCTTTTAGCAAACCTTGGAAACAGCCATTAAGTGCTGTCATCAGTGATAGCCAGAATAGCAGTCCATTGAAACGCAAGGAGGCGCCGTAGTGCGGATTGAGACTTTATGTAAATACGGGATCCAATCTGAGGTCAAGCGATCTTTGGATGCCAGCCACACCATTTCATCCACCCGCTTCTGATTTTATGAGGTTCAAGCTAATTATTCCTTTTGATATTGGCAGCCTGATTTTGCACATTTGCTGCTTCTGCCACTAACGTGTCTTGTCTAGGAGTTCAGGAGTGGTTTTTCCGTAAGATGAAACCTGCTTGGCATCTTCGCACACAAACAGGGCATTGCTATCTTCACGATGCTTGTTTTCAGGCGATTTTTTGTGCCCATCTATTCACATGGATACTTCGTTTTTTTCCGCCCTTTGGCGTTTGGGAATATAGATGGTGGTTTTCGCCACTTTGATTTGCATGGATTATCACAGTTTGGCTTGCGATTCTTTCTACGCGACCTGAACTGAGCAGCTCATTTTCAGTTTAGCCTCTCTGTGCACACCCTTGATCATTATTATTCTTTCGTACTTTCTCGATTATTCATGTATGAAACATTTTCTGATTTGACGCTATATTTATTTACTCTTTATATTCATATTAAAACATAAAACGCATATACCAAGCTGGGTGCTTATGACAGTTCGCTAAATTTCCTACATCGAATTTTTTGGGTTTATTTTCCCAAACTCATTAAACCTCACCATCCCCTTCATCCATCTCATGCTATTATTATATTATATTTTGCTTTTTTTTAATTTCTTTACACTTATGTTATTATACTATATTCTTCACTTCCTTACCATAATTCCGTTGCAGACACCTCTCCTCCATCAATCTTCTGCTCCAACCCTGCTTCGGGAATCGTTATTTCTGGCACTACTTCCTCTTTCTCGGCTGTTACCACCCTTCCTTTCGCCACCTCAACTGTTATGAGCTCCACGACCTGTGCTACGCCGTCCTCTGGTGGTGTTCATGAATCCTCGACAATTGCTTCTGCCTCGGCAGCTGCATTCGGAGGGGGTTTACAAGTGGGTCTTAATCATCTGGTCAGTGGGTCGCGCCGTAGAAAGCCGAACAAACTGAGCCTGGTTCAGTTGAAACTACCCGCTGAGGCAGGCCTTCCTGACTGCGGGGAGGCGGAAGGAGAAGGTGAAGGTGATACCTACGGAGCTGATGTCCAGAATGACGTTGCGGCCGGGCCCAAAGTGAGTGCTTGGACTGGATCGTCAATTACTTTGAGGATAAATGAACTTGGGTGTTGGCTTGCCGCTTTCTTGCTTCACAGCAGTTTGTCTTTCCTCTTTATTCTAAGCTTATTGCATTGTCGCCTATCGATGCTTTAATACTATACATGCCTTTTGTTTCGGTCTACTGGGATATGATATACTCGAACTTGGTGATGGCTTGATTTGAAGTGCATGTAACAGTATGCAAAGTGCCTTCTAGCCACTTGACTTAAGTCACTTTAAGAGACACTTCTGTAGTTTTGATACATAATACACGCTTCTCTTGAGTTGTGCTCGCTGATTTATACATATTATCATATATAATTCAGTTTAATCAATCGTTTATTATCAAGATAGTTCGGCCTTTAGTTTGGTCGCAGTTACTTTGAAGGTTCTTTCTCACATTGAATGTCCTCTAACTGTTTTTCATGAATGCAAATTTTGATAAGTCTACTTTAGACTCACTTTATTCTATGTTGGGCTAATGACTGCCCAAAGTTAGCTTTTTTCAATCCTATTGATATGTGCATTATTAAATATAAGAAACGCAGCTATCAGTTTCCTTCAAGTATGACTTTATTTGCCTGATTTGGAGCGCTTCATTGAGTGTAGAACATAGTCTTTTTTATTGTTTTACTGAAATCGATTTTTGTTCACCCCTTTGCCCTCATCATATCGAGTGAGGTCAATCTAAAATTTGGTGAGAG